TACTGGTTTGTCGTTTAAATCTCCGAAGGTTTTGAGATTCCATGGGTACCCTAATCGTATCTAATGTTCATGAACAAAAAGAGAAAAAAGTGTTAGATATTGGATTTTGTTGTTTCAGCAGCTCATAAATTAAAATTAAAAGAAATCAAAAGCTTAGATAATTATTTGGAAGACTGAAGACATGTTTGAATGCGGGATGAGGCATACTGTGAGATTATGTGGAACGAGCCTGAAAAGTAAAGCAAATAGTTTGGGAATTACTCAAAAAACTGGAGTTTTGAAGAAAGCTTTTGTCTCATAATCTGTAATTTTGAACAGTGAATGTAATTTTTCTTGCTTTGTATCCAGTAGAGCGCGGTACAAACTATGGTCCTTATACTCTATAGGAGATTTGTTATTTAATTGATAGAACCTTTCTTAGTATATGGGATATTCCTAGTAGGGCGATCTTCTGGGCAACTTAGTATGTTGTTAGCTGGGACACTGTTAATAAAATTGTCCATTCCTTTTATCACGAGGCCCAGAGCTCCGATTACTATTGGTACAGTCTCAGTCTTCATTCCCCACATCCTGTTAATCTGAATCCCCAGGTTCTTGTATTTGGATAATTTCTCGATACTTTTTATAGAGGTGTTTCTCTCTGATAGTAGGGCTATGTCAATACACTTTCTGAATTTTCTTGTCTGTTATGATAATATCAGATCTGTTGTTATTTATTTCCCTGTTAGTTTGAATTAACATGTCCCAGAGGATAGTTACATCCTTATTTTGGGTAATTGTGTTCTTGTTGCTCATATCATCTCTCAGTGGTTTCGATTTTGTGCTTCTTGTATATGTTCCAGTGCACATATGTCACTAACTTCTTATGTCTGTGAGTATATTCATTTTTTGCCAGTTCTGATATAATATGAGTAGCGCTTATTATTATTATTATTATTATTATTATTATTATTTATTTATTTATTTATTTTCTTTGATTGCTGGCGTTTACACATTTCTTTCCGGGTTCCGCCCAGGGACCTAAGGTTAGAAATGGTAAAAAAAAAAAAAAAAAAAATTACATAGATAAAGCCCTTCGTAAAGTGTGGGCTGTACTTGTCAGAACAATTTTTGTATCTCCTTGAGGCATGGACTTCAGGAATCCCTTCAATTAGTCTACTGGTATCTTTTTCCAACCAGCACTAGGGGCTCCAACCACAACAGGGATTGTTGATGTTCCTATATGCCACATTTTTGAGATTTCTATTTCAAGGTCCTTGCATTTGACAGCTTTTTTTGAATATCTTCAAAGATACATTGCAGTCAGCAGGGACTGCCATATCAATAAGGGAGGCACCGTTTTTGTTTGTAGTCTTTAATAACAATATTCTAAGGGTTGGCTTTGATTGTTCTGTCAGTATGTATAGTGTAGTCCCATAGAATTGTAACAGGTCCTATCTCCGTAACCGGATCTGGGTGGTGTTCATACCAGTTTCTTTCAGTTTCCTTATTATTATTATTATTATTATTATTTCTTCCCGGGCCTAACCAGTGATCTAAAGTCAGAAATGGTATTATAAAATTTTATCCTGCACATTTGGTGTAAAAAAAAGAAAAGAAAGAAAGTAAAATACGTATAAATACACATTTTGCACAGATTAATCTCTTTGGACGGTTTGAGTTGTGTCTTGAAGAACACTTTTGTTTCTTGTATTTTGAGAAAATTTGAAGATCTTTAAAGCTACGTTGCTGTTTGTAGAGGAACAGTAATGGAAGTCTGTTTTGTAGACTGAGTGGTTAGCTTTGATTGTTCTGTGTGTCTTATAAAGTCCCATAAAATTGTTACTGAACCAATGTCTGTAACCGGATGTGGATGGTGTTCGTACCAATATTATGCAATGTTCTTCCTGTAGAAGCTACACATTTTCCCGTACAGATATTAGCCTACCCTGTCATACCGAGTTCGATAGATGCTAATACCGTGCAACCTGACACAAGATGATCAATTGTTACTGGATATTCAGAAAAACATCTGCATTTGGGGCCAACACAATTTTTCAATATCTTTACTTGATAGTTCTTATTTGCAGGCTTTGATTCTGTGCAACAAGAATTAAACCATTATTCTCACATTGTTATTATTGTAGTTGTTGTTTGAATTAATTTACTTTAATCATAATCATCATTTACATATTTCGCTTATAAGATTGTGTTGATTATTACTTCAATCATCATTATTCGATGTGATTTAGTTTATTAATAAGCGAAGCAAACATCTACTGCTTACCTAGTTGGGAGTTCTGACGCGCTGACATATTCTACTATTAGTGCTACCCTCTAGCAACAAAAGAACGAACTCCTCACCACACGGTTTCCGGCCGACGTCACGTCAAAAATACGCTTAAAACGGCAAACGAGGAGATGCAAACTTCACTACTTCAGATAGTGATTTTCATAAAACAGATTGCTTGGAACAATGTCTCTTAATGTCTTCGTACGTATTGTTTAAAAGTATCATTTATTTATTTTGACACTTTTCGATTTGTCCTTTTTGTTTCTTTTTAAATTAGTTTATGCTTATGTGTGTGAGAGCGCGTGCGCGTGTGTCTGTGTGCGCATGCGTGTGTTAGGTAGGCATGCGTGTGAGTCTCGTATTTCTCTATCTTTTGTACAAAAGAGTCACATATGAAGACATTGTTTTCAATACACGAGTTCATTGAATGTTAATCAATGTGTTTTAACAAAAATCCGTTTTGTTCTTATCGGAAGTTTTCGGGAAGAGTAAAGGGGTAATAAAAATAAAAATAACAACGCTCTTTGACGACAAGAATATGTTTGAGATGTGAACTTAATGAAACATTGGAAATGTTTGGTCGTAAACGACCTCTTGAAAAATGAAAAACAACGCCAACAAAAAGAAAGAAAAAAATAAAGAAGAAAGAATGAATGAAAATCACTGCAGGAACAAAATGGAGGATTATAGGGCAAAATATAAAACAAAAAGAACAGATTTGAAACAATAGATACGTCGACAGATTAAATGCATTTCCTTCTCTTTTACATCTTACTTGGTTGTTACGTTTTGAGGTGTATCAAGAATGTCCTTTTTTATTTGTTTTAGTAATTAACAATTTAATAAATATTACCATCTACCAATTAATCTATCTATCTATCTATCTATCTATCTATCTATCTATCTATCTATCTATCTATCTATCTATGACTTTTCATCATCTATCTATCTATCTATCTATCTATCTATCTATCTATCTATCTATCTATTTTTTGTTAACCTCTGTGTCTCTTTTTGCCTGTCTGTGACTATCTCTTTCTAGCTCGGCCTGTTAACATCTCTCTGTATTTTTTATCTATCTATCTATCTATCTATCTATCTATCTATCTATCTATCTATTTGAGGGAGCAAAAGAAATCTATCTCAGTTTGTTAGCATTGCTCCCCTCTCTTTGCCTATTTCTGTTAATCTATCTGTATTCACATGTACGAAAGTGGATCTGAAGACTGGCGCCTAGTGATTAACTAAATCTTAATTTATAATAACTTCAATTCGTGTGACTAAAATTCATCACCGAATTAAGTGCATTGACAAGGAAGGAAATTCCCTGGAAAAATAATTATTATGCAACAAAGATGTGTTTAGTTTCAATCCTTAAGCCACGGACTTATTGATATAATAGCTATAACTATAGAATTACATTATTATGCTTTGTCTAAATTAAAATTTAATATAATTTTGCTCTGTCTGTTATATAAAAAGATAATATTTTCTATTTAAAGACAGTAATATATATATATATATATATATATATATATATATATATATATATATATATATATGTGTGTGTGTGTGTATATATATATGTATATATATACTGTAATTTTCTTGCTTATATCCATTTTCATTATTAGTTTCATAAAGGTTGTGTATATATATTATTATATTTTCATAATATATATATATATATATATATATATATATATATATATATATATATATATATTTGGTTGATATCCAACCAAATATGTTAGCTCTATTCTGATATTGAGCGCTTTATATATAATGCATATAATATATGTAATTATACATATATATATTTATTTATATTTATATACACTTTTCACACACACATATATATATATATATATATATATATATATATATATATATATATATATAAAAGTGAACATAGAGTCAACACTTAGGGCGACAGGCTGTTTCATGAGATGCAATCGTCATGCCTGACGATTGCATCTAGCATGAAACAGACTGTCGCCTCTAAGTGTTGATTTTTATGTTCACTTTTATATTTACACACGCTTTATCTCTGATATTGAGCACTTTATCCCATAAATATAGCACACCTTAAGACTATATTTCTTCATATATATATATGTATATATATATATGTATATATTTATGAAAAGTATATATATATAAATTATATAAATTATATATATATATATATATATTATATATATATAATTTGTTTATATTCATATATATATTATCAATATTAGTTTATCGAAAATCCAAATATGCGTTGTGATTAGATTTTGAAAGATGTATTTCAATAGAAAATATAGAGAATGTTTCCGACAGAAAAAGACAATTTTTCATAAGTCCTTGAGAATTTTCCTTGTTAATTTATTACAAACATATAGATATATAATCTCGTCATAGAATTGGAAACCGTGTAATGTGTGCCATCGACACATTTAAAGCGTTTGATAATAGCTCTAAATATATAATTGACGTCTTAATATAAATTTGTTGAGCAGTGATGTGGATGACTTCCAAACTTTCGACCATTATGAGAAAAATAACTCAGTCCAGTAAAACAGCTCATCGCTAAACGAGATTAATTTACTGGATTCATTTCTAAAGTAAACTGAATAATGGTAACAGAAATATAACTAACGCCGTCCATTAGCTGGACAAGAGGAGCGCATGTGCGACACGCATAGTTTCCGGTGTATTAGTTTTGGCTGGGTAAGTGATCACTTCATTTGGACACAATATCCAGTATGGTGCTCTCTTTGTATCGGTCGAGGATACAGGAAGAGAAACGGAGAAGAGAAGGGTATCGTAGGTTTTCAAGGGAGGAGGAGAAGGGGTGGTTAGGGAGGTACAAAGAAATACTCGTGGCTAAAGTAAAGCAGATGGACAAGTGGAAAGAACGGTCTGTTCGTCTATTTGGACACTGAGAGCCATTCTGCCCAAAATTGGAGACTTGTGCGTATTACTTCCGGAATATTCGCGCATGCTCTTTAAGGAACGGATCAAGGCCGAACCGAAATATATTGGCCAGGGTCACCGGCTTGGTTTCTGTGCGGACACGGGCTTAATAAAGAGGAAGGTAGACGGAGGCAAGGAAAAGGAGTGTGGCCGGCATGGAGTAGGAGGTGGAGAGAGATGAGGTGGAGGGAAACGAATTGAGGATTGAGAGGAAATGGTACCGGCAAAGGAAAGAACGGAGGGGAGAGAATTAGGGGAGGAAGTGAGGAAAAAAGAAAGATACAAGCGCAGCAGAGAATGTTAAAGGGGTGCGTGTGGGGTTTGAAGGAAGAAGAGAAGCGTAAGAATGAAATTGGGAAGGTTGGCTGAGCCAGAGGCAGGGGAGGAAAAATGTGTGGCAGTAAGAAGTAGAAAGGATCAGATTGGTGAATATTGATCGCGTGGCCTGGGTCAAGACTGACCATGCTAGGCTGCAAGAGTGGACACTGAGAGGATTTGGGTGTGGGTTTGTGAGGTGGAGATTGTGCAAGAACGAAAGCTTCGAGAAAATGATCGATGGTGTGGAGGTAGGTTGGGTGCTTGGTTTGGGCAGAAAGAAAACGCGATCCGAACACATACACGGATGTATATTTGCCTATAGCCACGCCAGTATTCATACGCAAGTCTACATGAATAGATAAATACATATGTATGTAAATAAATACTGTTTACATGTTTATATTTGCATTTGTTTACATACGCCTATATAGAAACTCATATATTTCTACAGATGCCGAAGAAAGAAAGATTTCAATGTTTCATTTACCTTCTTTTCACACTATTACACAGTTAGATGTGTAGCCCGATATGTAGATGTAAATTGAAAATATATATATATATATATATATATATATATATATATATTATAATCAATTCAAGCAATGTAAGTAAGACACAAGAGGCTACCGGGAGTGAAAAAGAATGAGAAAATATTACAAGAAACAGGAAGCAAAACAGAAAACAAGGGATACTTCTGTTAGTACAGGAAGACCGTAATACATTTATATATATATATATAAGGGTGTGTGTGTGTATATATATGTATGTATATATAGAGTAATTTTCTTGCTTATATCCATTTTTTATTATCAATAGTTTCATAAAAGTTGTGTATATTGTGTATATATATTATCATATTTTCAAATATATATATATATATATATATATATATATATATATATATATATATATATATGTAAAAGTCGGGCCTGACGATTGCATCTAGCATGGAACATAAGTGTTGACTTCAATGTTCACTTTTATATTTACACACGCTCTATCTCTGATATTGACATTTTATCCCATAAAATATAGCACATCTTAAGACTATATTTTATATATATATATATATATATATATGTATATATATATATATTTCATGAAAAGTATATATATATAAATTATATATATATATATATATATAATTTGTTTATATTCATATATAATCAATATTTTTATAAAAAAGTGTTTATATATATATATATATATATATATATATATTATCATATATTTTATATATATCTACATATCTTTCTCTCTATATATATTGATGAACAGATGGATATATATATATATATATGTATGCGGAGTTATAAGACGAATTTTGATATAAAATTTTGTTTGCAAATTTTATTATGCGTCGAAAAGATAGAAGTAATATTGTTGTGAAATAATTCAACAGTAGACATTGATTTATACACGCACATACACACACATACACAAAAACGCAGACACACACATATGTGTGTGTGTGCGCGCCCGCGCGTGTGTGTGTATGCGTGTGTGTGTGCGCGTGTGTGTGTGCGTACAAAATATAAAATGTTTCCAAAAGAGCTCCAGCAAAACAGGGTGTGGGTAATAATAGCAAAAGAAAAACAAAAAACAAAAAAATAAGATAAACCTTACACAAGAAAAAAAATCAAATAAAGAAAGAAGCAAAAACCAAAAGGCAAACACCAACCTAAGCAGTAAATAAGCGTGCTCAACGCCTAGACTATCAAGATAGAGCAAAGTACACTTCACAGCATTAACTCATCGTTACATGTATATGTATCGGATGCCGACGAAAGAAATTCGAAAAAGAAAGTTTATTATTATTATTATTATTATTATGATCATTATTATTATTATTATTATTATTTTCTTTGATTTTGGGGCGTTTACACATTTCTTTCCGGGTCTCGCTCAGGGACCTAAGGTTAGAAATGGCATCATGACACTTTCCACTGACAAAAAAAAAAAAAAATTACATAGATAAAGCCCTTCGTAAAGTGTGGGCTGTAATTGAGGCATGGACTTCCAGGAATCCCTTCAATTAGTCTACTGGTATCTTTTCCAACCAGTCCTAGGGCTCCAACTACAACAGGGATTGTTGATGTTCCCATAATGCCACATTTTCGAGATTTCTATTTCAAGGTCCTTGCACTTTGACAGCTTTTTCAATATCTTCAAAGATACATTGCAGTCAGCAGGGACTGCGATATCAATAAGGAGGCACCGTTTTTGTTTGTGGTCTTTAATAACAATTTATTATTATTATTATTATTTCCTTTGATTTCTGGTGTATACCCATTTCGTTTCGGGTCCCGACTCGAGAGTTAAGGTTCAGACATAGCTTCATAACATTTTCCACTGAGAATCTTTGGAAAAAAATTATTATTATTATTTTCCTATATTCTTCTTCTTCTTCTTCTTCTTCTTCTTATTATTATTATTATTATTATTATTATTATTATTATATTCCTATATTATTATTATTATCTATTCTACATTATTACACCAGTAGAAAAAATAAAACACGATGAGAAAAATGTTAAAAATCGAAATTTTACAACATACCTATATCCTTTCTCAACCCCAAAATAAACTTTCCCGACTATATATATTTCTATTTATACTCTTTCATTTGTACATAAAAGACTATAATTTTTTTATATAATCTATAAATTCGTAGAGGAACCCCCGATGAGGATTCAGCCTCAAAAGGGCCAGTTTCAGAAACGTTTTTTTTCTTTTGCTTTTTGTACTTTTGTCTTTTTTTTCCTACCTGTTATATTGTCAATCATCAACTATAATAATCAACATGGTCAGTGCTTACTACCCCTAACCTCTCAATCGCCTGGGGGTGGGGGTCACATGTATACTCGGAAGTAGGGGTAGAATTGCTCATTTCAGTCGCGCTTATTTTTAAATTGTATTCTTTATTATTAAAAATTATTATTTTAAATCAAGAGCATAATATATGTTGGTAAAATCATTTTTATTCCGAGGTCCTTCACTAAGAACGATTTTTTTTTACTAATAGGAATATTAATTAGAAGTCCACGGCTAGTAATTAAAATTTCTAGTTCCTATTTTTTTAATTTCTAGAAAGATAAACCTGAGAAAATGATCGCTTAAAAAATAAAAATGTTTAAATATTTCAACACATGAAAAAATTTCCCGAAAACTGAAATACTGTTTTTAAAAGAAATTTTAAGATAATCCAGTTTGTGTTGTGGTGGAATCTTATGATTTTTTTTTCATTTTTATCGGAGATGTCTAAGCGATTATTCTTTATGGAAATGTAAAGATCTTTTTCGAGTAAAATTTAGTCATGAAAATATTGGTGATTATTACATAAAAAATAACATTTTCTCAGATTGTTATTAAAATAAAAAAAACCCAAAACTATTCCGTATAAAAGTAAATAATTAAGGAATATATGAAATTTTCATTTATATTGGATAATTCGCTGATTTTTCGTAATTTAAAAGAGTGCTGTTTTCTCCAACCAATTTTCTTTCGAGGGTTTGTGGCCTCCAGGTTGGGAACTTTGAGATCGACATATAGTAGAGAGGTAGGCCCTGTATCAAAATTTCGAGAATGGTGGGGACGAGACCTTAGCGTAGGGCCTGTATAAATCATATATATATATATATATATATATATATATATATATATATATATATATATATATATATATATATATATATATATAAATCATATATTTAAGACATTTTTTATGTTTATAGATAATAAATTAATATATATAATAATATATATATAAATAATTGACGGACTTTGTCCATTTCATAATATATATATATATATATATATATATATATATATATATATATGTAATTATTATTTATAAAAAATTATATATATATATATAATTATTATTTATAAAAAATTATAACATAAGTAGTTAAAAACATAAGTATGTTATAAAACATACTTATGTTATAAATTTTTTCATAAATAATAATTTTATCTGCTCTACTTTTGTATTGGAGCACTTTTTAAGAATAGTAATTGTTGGTTATTGGAATTCATTCTGTATATACCAATTATATACTTGGGTATATATATATATATATATATATATATATATATATATATATATATATATATATTTTAAAGAAAAACCGATCACTTTAAAATTGGTTCCAAGTCCTTTTAATGAGATAGATGAAACGTTTCCATTTCATTTTTGGAAGTACTATCTGATGATCCGGCGTCCTTTAAAAGGACTCTGTTGAAATAAATTATTATAATGGTACTTAAAATGGTCTGTTTTTTTTTTAAAATATTAGCTCTGGATTTACATTGAGCTCTCAGGATTTCATCCTCCTTGGGATTACCTATACGGATTACCAACTTTTCATAACTTATATATATATATATATATATATATATATATATATATATATATATATATATTTATAATTTATAAATTTACTTGTATCATACGTTGAGCTCTCATATGACTGAAAAGTTACATTTTAGTATCATTTATATATATATATATATATATATATATATATATATATATATATATATATATATAATTTTTGTATAATTTTATATATCAACAAACAGTATTTAGAAAAATATGACAAACTGGAAAATTTCTTGTGACACGTTTCATCCGTTAGGATTTCATCGAACTGGGAATGTTGATGTTGCCATGTCTACACATGTGAACGAAACGAGAGACGCTGGTAGTTTCACAAATTTTTGAAAATATTTTCTGTTTCAATCTAGCCAAATTCATCTGTATTCTTTTTCTTTTACTTTTTCTTTCCGCCACCTTTGTCGTTGAATCCCTCAAACTATCACAGTAAAAAAAATCTAGCATGAATAATTTGTAAGAGGCTTCGACACAAATTTACCGTGGCTGAACAAGCAATCAAGACACTTTTCAGATATTTTTGTTTCAGTGGATTATTTTCTTTTTTAATCAAAGTAGCATTCCCTATATCAAAATTGTTTCCGTTTTATTACGGTGAACACCCAATGCGTTTTGTGTGTTGTCATTTAAAATGTCCCTTTTTTGTTCATATATTCAATTGTTTAAAGTTCTTCAAGTTTCTCCAATGTATTCATTTCGGCAATTCCTAAATTCCTCCTTAGAAATTTTGTTTGGTTGTTTTGTTTTATTGATTAGAACTTTGATTGTTGCCACAAATTTTATGTTGAGTTTAGATAAATTCTTTTCGGTTGTAGTTGTGATAGAGTTAGTTGGTAGAAAATTATATTTTTTTTATTCTTTGTGTTTGTTAGGAAGGAGAGTTCTTCTATTTTGGAATATTTTATGAGACTTTTGTTTCGCATTGAATATAAAATAGAGTAT